AGATACTTTTTTAAAAATACTTATTTTATATTCCTAACTCCGATCCATAATGTAGGGTATTGGTAGCTATTTCATTTCATGGTTCACAACAAAAGTTAGTTGAAGATAATAGTTTAAAAATCTATATATGTTTTTTAGGAAAACACAATCATTGTTTGAAACAGTTTTATTAAATTTTGCTTTTAGCTTTTATAATTTTTTTCAATATTAGAGGCTGAAAATATTGAAACTGTAGAGACTTGAAAAACAAACATCAACCAGTCTTGTTGAAATTATAAAAATTTAAAATACTAAAAAACTATAGGGACTAAAAGTAATTAAAACTTTATAAAAATTATAAGAATCGATGATTATGTTTTTACTATCTTTTTAATTGTATCCTTATTAAATATTTTATATAAGTATTTTGATAATAAAAATTGAAATCCTTATATATTACTTTTTCAAAAGAAATAATAAATGAAATAAAAGTCTAGTTGAAAAAATTATTAAAACTACTTAATATTTTATATCATGGACTAAGTAAAGTTTTTGAAAAATGTCTTATATTATAAATGAAAGAGCATCTATTTAATTTACTAACAAAATAAAATTTACTAATAAAATAAGATGTATACATATATTTATGCATGCAAATATGTACTCCCTTCATTTAAAAATGTAAAATATTTTTAATCAAATCTCACCTCCTAATAAAATAGTTATATACTTTCAAACTAACCTTATCTTTTTATATTTATCCTCATTAAACATCCTACAATAAATATAAAGTTATTATTAATAGAGACATATTTAAATAAAAGATAAGATTATATCTTAAAAGATTAAAAATATTTTATAATTTTTAACACCTAATTTTTAAAAAAATGTCATCAAGCAGTATACGGTTGTGGGGTTTGGAGTTTTTATTCTATATGTTAAAGTGGGAGAAGTGAGCCCCCCTTGGGCGACAGGTGGGTTCGCCCCTCCTCGAGATATTTATAGGCTGCTCATGCAATTCCAAAAATACAGGTTCAACATTGTCGATGGAAAAAAAAAAAAAAACATTATTGATGCAGACTTACTTTTTTATAATTGTAGTTTTCACCTTGGTTTCTTACTTCAGTTAAGAGGATATGAGATTTGCTTGTAAATACTTAATATCAATACTTTGTAATATATATTAATTTGATTTTCCTAAAAAAACGTATTATGTCACTAATATTTAATTATCAATTTACTGAGAAGACTTATCAAATCTTTGAATTTTCAGATATCACAATTTGCAACTTAATATGACATACAAAGTAAAGTTAATAAAATTGCAAGTTGAGCATGAGTCTACTTTATGTTGTAAAGCAAGTGGTCCAATTAAGTCTTCAAAATTAGAAATATGGGCTTATTTGGTTTTTTTCTATTTTTTTCAAAGACCTATTTTGTAAATCAATTTTTAAACATTATTTTTCAAAACAAAATAAAATAAAAATATATTTAATTATGTTAATTCAAAAAATAATTTTAGAGTTGAAAAAAGGTTGCCAAACTAGTGGTTAATGATGATGGTCCTTGATAGTGGTTGGTCATAATAGAAAATAATTTATAATGATCAAATGTAGTATTTTTTTAAAGATAAAAAAGTAAATGAAAATAGTTATAAGTTATTTCCATTTCATTTTTTTAAAATAAAGAGAATAGTTTTAAAAAAATTTAAATTTAAAATACTTACTCAAAAATGATTTTTTTTATTTTTTTAAAAACAAAAACTAACGGCCTATTTGGTTTCTCTTTTTTTTTAAAAAAAAATTTTTTAAAAATAAAAAATGAAAAAAAACTCATTTGGATAAATGTTTTAATTTTAATTGTTTCCAAAATTATTCTTATTTTTTGTTTTTGAAAATAAAAAATAGAAACATGTTAAAGTTTTTTTCATTTCATTTTTAAAATTTTTGAAAACATAGCCCATATTAAATTATTAAACTATGTAAACAGTCTAACATGTATTACATTTTACATTATGTTTAATTTATTATATTTATCAATGATATATTATTATACATCAATGATAAATTCTTGTAAATTTTCGAAATATCAATGAAAATTGGTAATGCTCTCAAATTTTTAAAAATTTGATTCATATTTTTTGAGCACAAGATTTTTTTGGACCAGTGGACTAATTTATTCTTTATTTTTTTTATTTCAAAAACATTACATTTAGTTATTGAAAACTACAATCACTTTAACCAATCACTATCATAAACTACTATCATTAACCATTGGCAACCATTACTATCATCTAATTTTTTTTAATCTAACACTGTTTTAATATTAACACAATCAAACATATTTTTTATTTTATTTTGAAAAATAATTTTTAAAATTGTATTGCAAAACATTTTTTAAAAACAAAAAACTGGGAACACAAAGAGGCCTTAAATAGCCCCAAATATTATTTCTTATCCATGCAAGTAATTAAAATGAATAATAAATTTTTAATCTTTTAAATTTGCTTTAGTTATCGATTTGGTCACTTAAATTTAATTTTTATAAATTTTGTTCATTTTATTTTTTTAAATTATCATATTAGTCTTTTAAGTTTTAAACACAATTTGACTCTCAAATTAATCTAATATATAAATTATGTTGATGACTTAACATATAAATATTGATAAATGAAAACAAACTATCAATCGTATTAGTTTAGTTTAATCTTTTATCAACCCAATCCCTTGAAATGCATTTAGTTTTTTTGTTTTTAAGATTTCTGAGTCTATTGTTTCCTGCTTAAATAATTGGACGTCTTTTTATTAATCTACATAATTATCATCAATATTTTGTTATTCATATTAATAAATTTTAATAGGGTAATCTCATTTTTAAATAATAAGAATCAAATCAATAATAGAAATAAATTTAAAAAATAATTTGATAAAATTAAACTTGAAGGATCAAATCAATAATTGAAATGATTTTGAGGGATTAAGAACTAAGTAAAAATATTATATTTATTTTAACATCTTATTAAAATATTAATACTTTAATTTAATAATTTAAATGTTATTATCATTTATAAATCTTCACATATAATAAATCAATCCTTGATATTTATAAATTCTTCAAAAATTTACATCTTAATCGGTGTATTTTTATTTATAATTTAATGTGTAATAACTTATAAATCTTTCTCCAAAATTTATATACTCTTCTAAAAATTTACAACTCAACTAATATATCCAAGATTTATATGTCAATGTGTCTTGCACCAATTAAATCATAAATTGAAATAATGTAATAATTTATAAGTCATATTTCAAAATTTATAATTACTTCTTCAAAAATTAACAATTCAACAGATGTATTTAAGATGTATAAATAAATGAGTTTTTTTTAATACTAGCTAGCCTATACATAAAAATAAAGTGATAATTTATAAGCCTTTTTCTAAATATGTAAGTCATCCTTAAAAACGTTATAGCAAGTATAAAAAATACATTCACTTATAAATCACAAAATTTAAATTTTATTTCTAAAATTATTAAATATCTAATAATCTAAAAATTTTAAACAACAACTAAATATAAGAGAATTGAAGGTGAGGCAAAAATGGATGGAGGCAAGGGTAGGAAGAGAAAAAATATTCTTTGCTAAATCTGAGAGTGAAGTATTTTTTCCCATCTAAATCTTTATGTTGAGAGAAAAGTCGGAAATAAAATATAGGATTAAATGATAATAATGAAATTTAAATCTCTGTTTTATATCTGATATACTTTGAACTTTAAATAATTAAAGCTGAAATAATCTTATCCTTACGGATAAATTTTAGCAAATCGTCCGTTACTCACAGAAATTCTCTCTCCGTCTCTCGCTCTCTGATTTTACTGTTCTCGACCGCTTCGCGCTCGGAATTTGTCGAAGGTGAAGAATGCCAAAGTCTTCCTCACAATTCGCTTCAATATAGAGATTCAATATGAATCCTCGAACTTGATTTCAAGAGACAACAGGGAATCTCATCCTTTAAAAGATGATACACACGAAATCTGATGCCACTTAGCTGCAGACTGGACTGCGGCCATCCATCACTACCTCAGGGAATCAATCTGTTGTGTGGACAAGTTTGCCAAGGATTCTTAATGCATGGAGGCAGGACTTTATTTTATTTCATGACGTTCCTTCTTGTTATTTTCATTATTTAGAAGACTTGAGGTCTGTGATCTCTAACTAGACTTTCCAAGTTTGTAACTTGCCACTCTGATTCGAAAAAAATAAGAGCCTGTGTGCTTCTCCTTCCTCTTCGTTTTTAATTCAATATTGCTTGCTCACTCCCTCCCTGAGGTAACCCCCCTCGCGTCTCTGTGAAAACTTCATATTCTCAAGAAAAGGCTCAGCTGAGGCGAGGGGAGAGAGAATTTATGTGTAACTAATGGAAGTTTGCTAAAATTAAATGATAATGGTTAGATTGTTTTAAGTTTAATTGTTGGAGAGTTTAAAAGTATTAAATACTAGATCAGAATATCTTATAGTTTAGAATCCATGTTATCATTTAACCCAAAAATATGAGTCCTATGTGTTATTCCCTCTCTCTAATCACCTTTCTCATCCGTCATAATTTAGCTGCAAATTTATTGGAGGATTTGTTAATCTTAAATTTGACTTGTAAATTGAGTGTAAAAATTTATTAATAATAATATTAAAATTATTAAATATCCGATACTAATATTTTAACAGGATTTTTTTTATGTCTAAACATCCATGCCCTTTTTCATCAAAGTACACTCAGGTAAAAATTTTGTAATTGATCAATTTTTATGTCTAAATAAACCTTTATTGGCACGTAAAGACGTTAGTTAAAAATTTCATACTCACCCTATTCAAAAAATAAAGGTATTTTTAACTAAATTATACCTCCCAATAAATTGATTAATTATTTTTAAAATGATATCATATTTTTATGTTTGCCCTCGTTTAATACTTGTATTTTGGTCTGGGAGTATTTATTAAAGATATTTATAGGAAAAAAAAACTCATAAAACTAAAAATACTGTATATTTTTTAACATCTAAGATCAGAAAACATGTTCTATATTTTTGAAAAGAGGAGTAATGGTTTACACCCAACAAGGAAAAGAAGGTTCCATTTCTGACATTTATACAGTACCCGACCAGAAAATTCTTGTGTAGTCAGCAGTGTGGACTTGTGGCATACATACATGCATATGCCTAGATTTGATTTGAACATGTGAGACTCATGTCGTGAATATATCAAATTAGTAACTTGTCACGTATGTACACTAGAATTTATTATACATGACCTGCAGTAAACATGTACAGATTGATTGAAAAAGAATTTAATGAAAAAATGGGCAAGAGAAAGGAAGTAGTACCTATCCACTTTGTGCATTGTTTCGGGTACTTGTTCTGTGAGAAGAACCACTCCTTCGTCTTATTCTGGGAAAAATTATAGGGCTACAGCACAATAAAAACAAGAGTACCCCAAAAACGAATACTACCATTGTGATCCATATGAATATGCTCATCTTCCAATGCCACACAATCCTCTTTAGAAAGGGAAGTTCTGACTCCAGAATTAGATATGCATCATATATTTCAGGAATGCCGAAACCAGGTCGATATTCTGCTCGATGCTCGAGAGACACTTTCAAACAAGAAGTAGGCAAATCATCCCTCTCAATGAAACCTCTTATCTTCACATTCAGAGTCTGAGTTTCTGATACGTACCCAGTAATAACAGGAGCCATCTTGAGAAAAGTCAAGACTAGGCGGATTGGCTCACTTTTGAATCTTAACATGTATGGCTGGCTTGAGCTAGCAATGGTTTTTCCATTCAAAGATAGTAAATCTACCTTCACCTTTAAAAGAACAGAAATCAAACAAGACAGTCAAAAGCAAGCACAATGAAGCAGTGGACTGTAATAGTCTAAGTAGGATATATAATAGTAAGTACAGAGGTACTGCTGAAAATAAAGAAATTAATTTCTGACATAGTGACTTAAATAGCAGCACAAGATCAAAATTGGAAACTTCGCCAACAGCTTATATGCATTCTGACAAAAGTTAATTCAAGCCTTGTTCGCTTGTTAATCATAACAATCACCAATACCTCACGATCATAGAGTCTACCATAGCACAAACAGATTAGGTGAAACATATATAAAAGGAGCCATTTGATCCAAAAATTTGGAAAAGTGTAAACAAACACCAACATGAACTGCTGTAATATATAACTTGACATAATCTTCATCGAAGGGTACACAGCTTGGAACATGGAAGACCTCAGGAGGCAATTGTGGAGAAAATGATCTTGCAAGCGATCAACAATTGCACCCACTATCTCCGGACGAATCCATCGTCCGAGGCTGACAGAGAGCCACAGCGTAGATGGCAAAATACCACACAAACGCATGATAAGCAAGCGCCTACGTCGTCTGCCGTGTGTAGACGCATGCCCGGGCCTAGAAGCCGCCTTAAAGCCAAAACCAGCTAAGCGAAGTTGAGTCGAAAGACGCAACTGCTTTGGATGAGACAACATAAAATTGTACCACCCTAGTGGGTTCTGAGCAGTCAGCACTTTCTTTATAGATACTGTGAATACATCAATCAAACTCACAACTCTATTTGAACTTAGTAATTAGACAAGGGCACTCAAAATTGGCCACGAAACGACCTAAACTTCTTCAAATGAGTTCAATGGCCGTGTTGAGCCAATATTTTAAGCAAACTTTGAACACCATCCAAATAAAAGTACAAAACTCAGTTAAAAAATTTAAAGACCAGATAAAATATGTCTTCTAACAATACTGAAGTATGGATAAGTTATGCACATCTATGCTACTCCAAGTAAAAATCCAGCATGCAGACCACTTGAAACATTTGAAGCGTCCATACAAATGGCTACAAATATAGCATATATGCCATCAAAGCTCCCCATTAAGTCATATCACATGTAAGAAGTTTCTTTAAATTCATCATCATTGCTCGCAGAACCATAACAGAAAGAAAAAAAAGAAAAACCTTCCTCTCTCACTTAGAACATGTCTTTTGTAAAACAATCAGATATTGCCACCGCTATTAACCCAAAGAGTTCCCTAGAATTAGTCTATTAGGTCCAAAAGGAAAGCAAACACATTGTCCAATTATATACAGCCCCAAGACATAATCAGAAGTAAAAGACTAGCATCCCTTGTCCAGCAATGTTATTTGTAACTTCAATGATGAACCTATAAGAACAGACACATTACTTACATACTGTTTTAGCTAAGCAAAATAACACCGTAGTCCCTCTTCAACAACAAAAGTTTCCCTTTTGGTTCTTAACTATGTTCTATGATAAATAAATTAATCTATTACACGTAAGAAGCCACACATCATCACTGCCAAAAAATAAATGGTTTGTCAAAAGAGATCCAAGTAGAAAATTTCCCCTTCCTTCTCTGTCTGTCCTCCAGATTAGAACTAGTAAACCTCAAGGATGGCAAGGTAAACAACAGCAGCAACAAAAGCCTTATCCCACATTACAAGGATGGCAAGGTAAACAATTTTAAACGAAAAATTGCAGAAAATGTTCAGGGTGAGCCACATTTTGTTTATACTGAATTGAATAAGACAGGTACCTGGAATATCCCTAGATTTCTGTTGTATTCAGATTCTGGCACTAGTAATGAAACAGTGACCTGCACTTTGTGTCTGGGAGGTATAATTCGAGCCCCCATCCATTTACCAGCTTGGACGTTATTCTCAGGGTCTATACCACTGCCAATGTCGGTGCATGATGTTAATGGCACATAAGCAACAGGAGTCTGCTTTGTATAATCGAAATTCAAAATTTCTCTCTTATGAATTGGCTTCTCCATATAGAACTTCATCATAAACCCACTAGTTACAAGCGATAAAACCAGCAGACTGACCAAAATGAAACAAACATAGATTGACCACAAGAGGCCCCACCCATACCGCAAGGCAAGGTTTCCAATTGGCTTGCCATTTCCAAGAAACCGATGAATTGGTGGACCAACCCAACCACAAAAACCATCCGACGCTCTGGACAAAATCCTCATTAAAAATCGCTTGCCCATTCTTATTGTTCGGAAAGGGTTGATAAAAAGCATGCAAGAATAATAAAGAAACAACAAAGGATAAGTTGTAATCATAACGAACAAATGAATTTGAAACCCAATAGCCTTAATCACTAATCCCGCAATAAATTCGAGAAAATTTGGTGACGAGATGCCCGCTTCATCACCCGAGTTAGCTATATCACCAACTGTACAACCAACCGGTGATGAGATCGCCGCTTCCGCCCCCGAGATAGTGATATCACCAACTGTACGACAAAACGATGACGAGATGCCTACTTCCGCACCTGAGTCAGCTATAGCATCAACTGTATCATCATTGGCAGGTATAGCTGTTATGGTTGTTGATTCTTTATCCTTCTCTTCCATCGGCTCATTTGCAGCCGTAGAGGACTCGGCTAGCTCATTGATTGGATCGCACTCCTCAACCACGCTCTCATCGACAATTTCATCTAAATTTGCAGGATTTTTAAAACTTTGTTGCTTAATGAAGCTCAATCTCGCCTTATTAATCAAATCGCTCTCGCAGCCACTGGAAGAATTTCTCCGACCAAATGAACAACGGCGACTTGGACGGCGTCGTATTTTGTCGACCAAAGAATGTTGAGAAAGTCGAGAATCGTCATAAACGGGTTGGGGGTCAGAGATAGTGGAGGCGGAGCCGGAAGCAGATGGTTCCGACGAGTCCTGACCGGAGGGCCACTCATCGAGTGCGTCGAAGAATACGACGTCATGGTCGTCTTCATCGATTGGATCTGGAGGGTCCATTGAATTGAAGATGGCGATCAGATTCGAAGCTTTGGCTAGGGTTTGTCAAGTTCCAAATCATGTCCCCGTCTATTGGGTGCATCAAATCTGTTGGAAAAAAGGAATAAAAATTAAAAACTATGTTGTCCGTTAACCGTTGAGTCGAGCGCCACCGTTTCACGGGTGACATATATCAGTGTTACCCAAAAAAAAAATATATATATATATACTACATTTAAAATCATAAAATATTGAATTTTAAAATTAAAAATTTATAATCATCAATATATTAATAAATTAATACATCAATATCAATTCAACATGTTCGACGTAAGTTTTTATAGCTAGTTACAGTATTAACAGAATCACACAAAGTATGCATTTAATCTCTTATTCAGTTGAAAGAGTAAATTATAGTATTGGCAACTTATAAATAATATTCATTTTATTATTTTATATTATATATAATTATTGTCAATGTCATGAAACATTGGAGAATTTTTTTTAATTGACCCATCACTGGCAGAGAATACATTAAAGGTTATAAGGATGAAGTTGTAAACCACTGATTGTTACTTAGCTTGTACAATTTGGTTTTAATTTTGAGGAATTTGAATGAAGCACGTCATATGCATTATCTAATTGGTTGCAACTGGACTCTTCAAAATGTAAAAAACAAAGAGGAGCTCAAATTCAAGAAGAATTCCTTAATTTTGTTGGAACATATGAAAAAATAGGTGTAGAAGCTTATATTCTGACAAAAATTCTTATAATATTAAGATTGTCCTCACCAACATTTAGAGCATATTAAATGATATCAACCAAGAATCTCATATATATATATATATATATATATATATATTCTCATATATATGAGTCCTCTTTTTAATATGATATCAACCAAGAGTCTCGTTCAATCAAGAGTCTCGTGTGTGTGTGCGCGTGTGCGTGTGTGTGTGCGTGTGCGTGCGCGTGCGCGCGCGCGCGCGTGCTTTTTTAACTAAGCAAATGGATATTTGCTCTGTGTGTGTGTGTGTGTGTGTGTGTGTGTGTGTGATAAGCAAATGGATGTGTGTGTGTGTGTGTGTGTGTGTGTGATAAGCAAATGTGTGTGTGTGTGTGTGTGTGTGTGATAAGCAAATGGATATTTGCTCTGGATATCACTTAATATTAGTGTGTGTGTGTGTGTGATGAGTACTTTTTTTAACTAAGCAAATGGATATTTTTAATCCCAAATATTTTTGCAAAATTGAATGAATTTACTATTTGCCAAGGGGTGTCATTTGAGATTTTCAAGAAAACTGAAAGGGATTCATGAAATTTTTAAGCAACCATCCATTCATTGTTATAGAACTTTTAGGTATTTTAGAAGGTTTGAAACTTTGCTAAGAAGAAAATTACTCTCATGCTACATACATTACAGTTCTAAAGAAACAATTCAGCTCATATCAAGTAATAAATATGATCAGAATCATTTTTGGATCTGTATCATCAGAAGGATCAAAGATCTCATTACACACAATTGATAAATTTTCGTCAATCACACTTTTAGAGAAGCTATTTAGTATGCGGATTGGCTTGTGCATCAAATAAACATTATATAATAGTTTTGATATCAGAATTTTTAATGAGCCGTCTAATGAGTGCAAGACTTTTCTTTTATTTTTTTTTTCCCAAATACATCTTGATTTGTTCGCAGTCGTGTGGCTCTAATTGTGACCTTATCTATTAAAAAACATAAGATATTGCATGTATATCATGAGCTTTAACCTCTACTGATGTGGAGTTTTCAATGCTGCAGCATTAAATCCTATTCAGGTTATCAACTCAACCAAAGTTGTGGTTGATGAATTCTAGAAGATAAATTGTAGTAACCAAGTAACGGCCAATACAAATGAAATCTTTAATGCTGATTGACTTCCTCCTAATGAAGGGTCCTTTAAAATTAATAGTGATGGAGCTTTTTTAAACTCCACTAAGACAGCTGCAATTGGAGTAAGTGTTAGAAACAGCTTTAGTATGTTTGTAAAAGGATGGCGAAGCCTGGTCTCAGCTGATTCAAATTTTTTATCAGAATTTTTGGCTTGTGAAAAAGCTATTTCTTTAGCCTCTAAATTTTGTAGATCTAAAGTAGTGACTGAAATGGATTGTATAGATCTATCGAGCTGGTTTTCATAAAAACACTTCCTTTTGTCATTGGTCCTTTCATGGGCTTCTTGAATATCTATTTGTGGCACTTGAGTCTCTAGATCATATCTCTTTCTTGTTTGTTAAGCGGGAAGGAAACTTTATTGTTGATTGGTTGGCGATCTCATCTCTAAAAGGAGTGGATTTTGATGGTTGGGTTCTCACCCCTCCACACCCTCTTTTGCTATTTTACTGAAAGACTCAAGTTCCTCTATTCATGAATATCAGCAACTGGTGATTAACAGTGATTGGGAACGCATTGGATAATTATTATACTTGGCTCAGCTTTTTGAAGTTATGTATAGGTCTCTGCGTAGTTGGCTTATGACTTGTTTGCTTTGCTGTTTTTTATTTCCCTCTGTACTGCCTGTAGACCTATTTCTTTGCTCTTAATGAAGCTTGCTGCTGGTCCCAAAAAAAAAAAAAAAAACTCTACTGATGTGGGGTATTACATGCATTTATCACTGAGGTGGGAGCTCTTCGCAACGCAATCAAGAACTAAGCATATAAAGTATGAAAGCATTGTCGCCTTGAAAAGCGCAGTCATAAGATTATGTAAAGAAATTTACATTTGCAAGGACTCTTTGTTTTGACTTCATCAAATTCCGTAATGAGCAGTTTGATGCGTATGTTTTTTTTTTTTTTTTTTGTTTTCAATCATCCACATCATACTCTTAACACCTTATATAAGCTGCGCGTTCCACCTCAAGCCAGCCTTTGTTATTTGTTTCTTCTCCAAACACTTTCATCACCAGCAACAATGCTACACCATGTGTGTGTGTTTCGCTACATTTATTATATAAACTATTTTTTCCAACTATATATATTATATAAAAACACACACCTACAATATCAAAAACAACAAAAAAAAAAGGTAAAAACAAAAAGGATATATCAGTCATAGGCAATTGGACCTTGGTAAAATTTTGCTTTTGGCGGCGGGGAGTGAAAATTGGACTCCACCGAGAGTAAAATGGCCCTATTGTAATTGGGCTTTCTCTGTCCACGTCTTTGGGCAAGCTCCTTCAGCCTTGTTCCAGATTTTATTTATTTATTTATTTAAAATAGACAACCACTAGCATTTGGAAGGGAGGACTTTGACATTTTGCTAGGCTCTTACAAGGAAAAGGCTTGAAAGAACCAATGAGCACTCGATAGAGTTGTTAAGGGTTACTATTTACATTTCTCAGGGTGAGAGTTTAAATCTCAAGGAGTGACAGACGCGATAATTAACACGACCTCAAAAAAATCGTTCCATCGATACCTCGCTACTACTGTAAGGTCTTCTCGCGAGAGGTCCGGATTAGTCTGAGGTGAGTAATGAACCCAAGATATCCGATGGTTTATACCAAAAAAAAAGCTTGAAAGAAAACTATGGAATCTTAAGATAAAATAACATTAATTATAAAAGATTAGTTTAAATACCAATGCTTAGTTCGACTGATGTGGAAATTGTATTAGGTTATTAGCTTAATGCTTTAACCAGATGTTTAGGGTTCAGTTTTTGAAAATACAACATGGTTGATGATAATGATCCTATTCGAAAGGATTCAAACTTGACTCAATCTTGATTACTTTAGGTATTATTAAAGTCCCTTCAACTTAAATATGAGATAAGTCTAGGATAGCAATTAAAAAAATAAAAAAGAATAGTTTAAGTGCACACCTGCTTACGTAGTATATAACTATGTATGCATATGTAATGGATGCTACAGTTCATTCACATGCAACTGTATACTCTCTCTATTTTTTTTTTTGGGGGTAAAAGAATTGTATATTTTAATAAGTGGTTAATTTGCATGTTTATTTCTACCTTAGCATTATTTTAAGGAAAATACGCGTGCATCTTTAAAATAAAAACAAAATCAAAGATATTTTAGCATAATTCTAAAAAAATAATGATGAATATTATATAAAAACATCAACAAAAACATATAAAAACATAGGCATATAATAGAAGAAATAGGTATATAAAAACATCAAACATTCATTTCTTATATTGATGAATATTATATTTCTTATAAAAAATCAAACCTCAATAGTTATATATTGATGAATATTATATTTTTTTTATTGTATATTATTTTGTTTGAAAGTTAAACATTCATTTTTATTTCTATACATGATTATTTCTTACTATTTAAAACATATAGTATTTAAAATATATTAATTTATTTATAAATGATTGGACCATAATTTAAATTATAGTCTAATCATTGAATCATAAATCAATATTTTAATTAATTTAATGATCGATCTAATTTTTATAACATTTCTTTTGTAAATATATGGACTGTGCGTACTAGACCAAAAAAAAAAAAAGAAAGAAAAAACACATCCTGTTGCAAAGATGCTTCGCAGCCAACAGAAAATTGGAAAAACCTGTCCGCCATTATTATCATTAAAAAATTAGTAAAAGAAAATGTAAAAAAAGAGCAGTGTTATAAAAACTTATGGAAAAAAATATATTATTAAAAAATAAGACTTCAATACTACGACTCCAACATGATAAAGTGGAATCACGCCACCTTAGAGAAGAAGATCAGTTACGTTTTCTGGTCACATAACAAAAGGGAGTTTGGGTTTGGTGGGTAGGTACAAACAACCCATAATTTTAGTATTTACCTTCATTTTGCGTCTTCCAGTTAAAGACTCTAATGGCTTTTAGTATTTATCATCATCATTACAAATTTGTTATTAACAACATACAATTCGCAAATGTAACTATTTTATTTCAATAATATACTCCCATATATTAAATTAATATTGTTTGGACATGTGAAAAAAGGAAAGAAAAGTGCCGTTAAAAGTGTGCAAGCAAAATTCAGGGGAAAAAAACGTGTGCAAGCAATATGACATCGCTTATAATTTTTTTTTATTGTGCGTGCGCGTATATATATATATATATATATATATATATGTATGTATATATCTTCTTATTAAAAGCAAGTAATTTCATTCGAGATATAATTAAATATTAAATAAAAAATATCACTAAAGGACCATTGAAAGTATTTTATATAAAAAAAAACTTTAAGATTTTTATTTTTTACTGCATCCCCTTGGTCCTTAGCTGCATAAAAGTTTTTATGGAAAATGACTGAATTACTCTTAAATTTTAAAATAACAAATGTTCTCCTTACATAAATAACAAGTTATTTGAATTTTGACAACAATCAATTCATAATTAACCAAAATACACATTCATAATTTAACAAAACTGGAAAATTAATAGCAAAAGTTTAATAGAATAAGTGTTCTTTTTGCATAAACAAGCTATTTGAGTTTTGACAGCAATCACTTCGTCATTAATAACAACATATTTAAAATTTGAAAAAATTAAAAAGATTAACAAGAAAGATTTAATGGAACACATGTTCACTTTACATAAACCATAAGCCATTCAGGTTTTGGTAATAACCAATTCATGATTAACAACAATATATTTAGACTTTAATAAGATTAAAAAATCAATAGCACAAATTTAATGGAACAAGTGTCCACTATCAAGCAATTCGAGTTTTAATAATAACTAATTCGTAATTGACAACAATACATTTGAATTTTAATGAGATTGAAAAACTAATAATGCGATTTTAATAGAATAAGCATTCATATTACATTAAGAACAAGTAAATTAAATTTTGATAACAATCAATTTATGATTGATAACAATACATTGGAACGTTAAAAACTAATTCATATTTAATTGTTTCTCTTTCATCAAGAGGGGCAATTAAGTTATTTTTTTAAAAAAATTATTTTTAGCTAAGGACCAATGAAAAATTAGAATTTTAATATCATTCTTTGATATAAAATCCTTCAAGTGGCCCTCAATTGATATTTTCCCTTATTAAACATGGATAATTCTCTTAATGATGTTTGGAGCATAGGATCTTTAGTGCCATGAAATGATGCAGATGAAGACCAAGAATGATATTCAAAGAATTTATTGAATAAGATATCATAACAAACAATATAACTGAATTAAAAACTTAACTAATCATTTATCTTTATCCCCATGAAAAGATGTAAACTAAGAAGAACGCCCACCAAAGTTATGATGAGATCTGGTAGTAAATAATATAACAGAAGAGTTAATTATTTATAGTATAAATGGTGCCGTGTATGCGATACATAAATTAAGATGTTGTTATACTATTATATATTTGAAGGGAAATATGTATAAAAAATAAATTTAAAATTTTAGACACTTTTATAATTTAGGAACTAATTTGTTCATTTATTTTATTTATTTATATAAATTAAGTTTATAATTTTATTACAGATCTTACTCTCTCACTTTTTTTAACTGTAAATTTCACACACACACACACCTCTCCCATTTTTCCATGAGCCTCACATAAAAAACTGGATGGATACTCACGGAAATAACATAGGATTTGGATTGCATAACGTCAAAGAAGATGGCCAAAAAAGAAAGTCAAAGAAGAAAGTAGAAGAATAAGAGGGTCCCACAGCTATGAAACCACTGTTCGCGCTAAATTCAATGGACAACCCCGGGTAACTTGGCTGCGGGCATTGTCAGCAAATGTCACACTGTTTTGAGTTTGTCATTGAATTTTTAGCACTTTAAAATTCTACTTGAAATACAATTTTCAGTTCAGATTTCCATTGAATCCAGTTAATTCCATGTCGCACACACATATTATATAAATAAATCTTATATTCTTATACGATCAATTAATTAGAACGTGGGCGTGAAGCGTCTAGTTTATGGGCTCAAATCAATGATAGTAGTGTAGCGGTATAACGACTGTACGGATATTTGCAAGCCAGCTCTTCTTACACATTCTCTCTAATAGAACTCAATTTGACGTTTCTATGGTCAAGGCTCGAAGTGTCGCTTTCTTCGATTGTCATCGATGAAGATCAATTCATGCATGTCCCTTATGGTCCCCCTTTAGATTTCCCATCTGGGGTTCATTTTTTTCTTCTAAGTTCATATTCTCTTAGCTCATAATCCAAAAGGAACCACCTTTGCAGAAAAAAAACAAGCCTTTCATATATGGTGCTCTCTGTTTGTAACTTCAAAAAGCAGCACTCTGTGTAGGCTGAGTCTTCAAGCATGCTGGCAAGGAACTTCTTTGCTTTCCTAATTGTTGCGCTGAGTTCTTTCAGATGGCTCAGATACGCAGAATCAAAACTACCTCAAGTAGAAGGTAAGCCTTATTTTTTGTGAAAGTGTGGTAGAAGGGGAAAATTTTGAAACGATGTAGTTTTGGTTTGCCCCCGGGTAATATTGTTGAATGTTGAGACTTGCTCTTTGGAATATTGAGCTGAGATTTCACTTTGTTTATGGGTGAAACGCTGTAAATTTCTGACCCTTGGTTCCATGCTTCCTTTATCTCCAACATCTAACTAAGCTTTAGGTTACCTTTAAAATTGTGATTTTGTTTTTATACTGTAAATCCTTGCTTGTAATCTTATTTATAGAAATATCTTAAAAACTTGGCTCTGAATCTGATTGCCATCCAGAGTGAGCAGATGATGTTAGTGTGGGCTTTGCATCGTACTGAAACTTATTTGTTCTGTTTATTGTAATTAAATAAATGACTTACCAATTTATTTATATTTTAGATATAGATTTTGCTTGCATTGTTCCGTATGTTGCGTAAATTTCTGGGCTCAATCATCCAGTGTGTCTGTAAGAGTTATGATATCTTGTACAGACTACGTTCATCTTCTGGGTAGTGATCTTCTGGTCTTTACCTTTAGGGTTAGGCTAAAAGCTTATCATGTTATATCTCTGTTTTTGTGTGTTTGGTTGCAACTTGCATCCTCATTAATTTAAATTGGTTACTAGTGTAGAAATGTAATTCTAAACTTTTCAATGTTCTGTAAAATTGCAGAATTGATTCCTATTTTTCTATTAATTGATTTTACTGTTTTTGACTGCTTCATGAATATGTAATATGTATCTTAAACTTAAATGCATTAAGCCCCTTCTGCGTTAATATGCTAGTGGTAAAGCTGGCAAGTCTTTCAAATTTATTTAGAAAACAAGCTAATAATTATTCCAGAAAGGGAGGTTTTCTGTTCTATATTCTATCAACGGCATGGAAAGCTTTGTTCAAGGTTCAAGATAAACTATTGATTGATGGAGTTTTCCTTGTTGTTTGCAACATTTTTACGTGCAAAAAGGGACTGATAGTTGAATATGTGAAAATGTAGCTCTATCTGGTAACATTTGATTGTCAATCTAATTCCTGATTTCATAATATTGGGCATGTCAATTTTGATTTAATCCTAATGTTACCTGTAAGTTTGTTTTATTTTCTTATGCAATACAACTTTATGTCATTCTCATACCACCTCAAATGCTATCCAGTTGATGCTCTTCAAGAAATTCTTAGTACAATGGGTGCCACCTACTGGAAGTTTGATGGCGACTCTTGTCAAATTGAAATGGTGGGTTTGACACCAGTACCGCCCAGTGGATCTCAGAGCAGTATTGGTTGTCAATGCTTTTCTGAAAATGGCACTAATTGTCATGTTGTGAGCATGTAAAGTTCCCTTATCTTGTCCTCACCTTTTCTAACTTCTTAGTAATTGATTCATTATTTTTTGTGGTATCATTAGGGATCTTGGATTTTGAAGTTTTGTCTGGTGCTAATATTTTTTGTTTTTTCATATTTTAGTGTGCTCAAAGGGTATAGCCTTCCTGGTGTGCTTCCACCTCAGCTGGTCAAGCTTCCTTACCTTAAAAAAGTGTATGAGCTCCATGAAAAATGCTTAAGCACTTGCTTACTATTAGTATTCACTTTCTGTTCTTTTCCCACTTTGAATTATTTTAGCTCCAAATTGAATGGTTGAATACTTGTTAGTGTCAATACTTTATTAGAGCCCTTTTTAGATGCGTGATTTTTTCTGTCATTGTAGCGATTTTGCTCTCAATTACCTAAATGGTACAATCCCTAAGGAATGGACTTCAATTAATTTATCTTCAATGTAAGTTCTTATCTGCTGTTGTAAATTTCAGTCTTTTCCTTGTCTTTCCTTTTAACTAATAACTTCATGTCTATGACTTATGCAGATCTGTTCTTGTGAATCGTTTATCAGGGGAAATTCCTAAGGAGCTGGGAAAGATGACCACTCTAACATACCTGTACGTATTGAACTTAAGTTTTTCTCATTTATTTATTTTCTGAACTCATGTTGATCAAAGTTCAGTTTATGAAACTTTGTGTCTGTCTTTATTTTATTTTTATAACTGTAAGCTTCAATTGTCTAGATTTCAGAGTTTTATGCATAATTTCCCCTTCAGCTAGCCAAATAACAAAAAAGAATTCCGATGGCTCAGTGTGTTTATCCCACTTTGTCATCATGAATTTCTGAATTTTATACTTTTTAATTCCTCTCATATTTCCCATTAGGAGCCTTGAATCAAACCAATTTTCTGGTCTTATTCCTCCTGAGCTTGGAAATCTGATTAACCTGCAGACTCTGTAAGGCATCACTTTTGACTTATTTTCCCTGTAATTCTCGTGTTTGTTGGAATATATTTGAAGATCTAAAACTCCATTCTGATGGATTATATTGGCATTGTTCTCATTTCAGGGTTTTGTCATCCAATAAATTTTCAGGACGCTTACCAGTATCATTTTCGCAATTAAAGAATTTGACAGATTTGTATGCTCTTGGTTACTTTGTTTCATAGCGTTCTTATAAAATAAATAATGATAGTGTTTTCTGATGAATTTCATATTGTGGTGCATTGCAGTAGGATAAATGATAACAATTTCAGTGGAACAATACCTAATTTCATCCAGAATTGGGAACTACTTCAAAGACTGTGAGTTTGAATTTCTTTTTTCTTTTCTTCCTTGACTATTTTTGTGTGGTTTCACTCTTGACAAGTAGATAACCCAACACTATGCCTATTTCCTCCTCTATTTTCTCATCTCATTTTACCTCATTCAAGAGAAATGCATGGAAGTGGACTTGAGGGGCCCATCCCATCAAACATATCTCTTCTAAGTAATTTACGTCATCTGTGAGTGAAGAGCCTCCTTTTTTTAATGTTTTATTTATTTCTGGTTCATATCAATAATTTGCTCAGGTTGGCGACATTTTTATTTGCACAGGAAAATTAGTGACATAGGTGGTCCCAGTCAGGATTTTCCTTCCCTAAGCAATATGACAGCACTGATAAAATTGTATGTTGTGTGACGTTTTTGAGGTCATACAATTTTTGTTTCTGGTAATGTTCGATTTAAAGTGATTCATATTTTCAATTTAGGGTTTTAAGAAATTGCAATATTACTGGAGAGCTACCTGCCTACGTCTGGACAATGCAGGACTTAGAAATGCTGTGAGTAATGCATATGAATCTGATGTACCTTAGGTTTCAAATATTTTATCATTGAAGCAAATATTAATACATAAAAGCTACTCCTTTCATCCTATTTTTGTGTTGAAAATTTAACTAAGCAATCAATTTCATTCCAAGATTGTACTTACTAGGCATATCATCAGAGTTTAAAAAGAAATATGGAATTAGGTTGTGCTAAATGTTGTGACTAGTGATTTCAAGACTGTCAGACCGTCATATGGAGTACTTTATATTTCAAGATAATTCTAATGTATCAAGAGAGGAGCACATGAATGCATAAATAAATAGGTTATAATTTAAAAAAAAAATTAGAGAAAATAAGATACAGGAGAGAGAAATAAGGAATGTGGAAAGAGAACAAAGGCAATTGTCAAAAGATATTATTTAATCTCTTCTTGCTTGCAAGACAAAGAAAGTGGAACCATACAAATCTTAATCTAGTAAAAGTTTTTTTTTTTTTTTTAATGAACCAATTATTATAAATTTAATTTACCATCTCTGCTTCACCTGAAATTTCGTATATTCCTTGAATTTTGATTTATTGAACTTCTTCATATGGAAGACAATAATCTATCCATTTTTAGAAACTCAATTTTCCAACTGAATCATATAATGCATATAGGTAATTTTTAGACTTCTATTATTTGGTTCTAGAATGCCACCTCAAATACCGCACATGCATGACCGTTGATGATAGCTTAATGCAGATTCTTAATTTTTCTTTTCAACCGTTGCAGGGATGTCAGTTTTAATAAGTTAGTTGGGGAATTTCCAGCAACTGTCAATTCAAAGCATCTGAAATTTGTGTAAGTATTTTGCCCCAAAGTCTAGTTACGTGACATTAGAAGATTAGTAACTTCTCTCTCAATCAATATAATATGGATTTACTGAAGGAGTCACTGTTCTAATAAAATTTGTGTAAGTTTTTAAGCAATTGAAGCTCCTCCTGCTCTCCCTGAAATTTTGAAGTTTTCACTGTATAAATGAGGATTGTGTTGTCCTGGTCTCCATAAAACAAGAAACGTGTTAAATTTCCGTTTTTCATTTTCACTGTCACCTTGTGGCTTTTGCTTTACTTAATTTCGAGTTGATCTGATCAATTGATGGGCCAATAGTGAAGTTTGAAAACTGTTCCAACCTTTTTATTTCAACCGGGCCTTTGATTTCTGTGATAACAAGAAAAGAAATTTGTACGTCTCTTAATGCTTTTATAATCTCTTCTTACTGGTATAAAATATATGATTAGTTTTCATAACAAGTACCCGAAAAAAAAAAAAAGTGATAATCTTCTCTGACCTTGATGGAAATCTCTCCATTTTTTGCGTATCCAGCATTTATTTGAGGCCATGCAAGGCAATGAAATATTAACTAAAACAGTTTTTGTTGGAAATTTCAAATGCGATTTTAAGGGGTATTTTTATTAACTAGGTCTGGTTTATTTAAAATAAATAAATTAAATTAACTCTAAAATTATGTATATATTTTAGTATACTTTTTAATATATTTGTTCAACTTGCCATCGACATTTTCTATATTTAGACCATCCAAATATTTGTTGTTTAATGCTTTTTAACTAGTCCTTTGTAGCTTCCAATAACTTGTAGACTTTTTAGCGATCCACTTTGCAAAATTGCCTTTCTTAACATTATCAATTTTGCCTGAACAATTATCGTCATGAATATTTTTATAATTGAAATAGTCATATAATTCACAGAAAGTTAGCTGATGCTGAATAGATAAAATATGATGAGATCTGCTTAGGAAACATGTAACCTAAGAATTTCCTCAAAACCATGTACTCTAACACGCCCCTTATAAAATATGTCCTGATTGCCTATTCCGTGAACTGTTGAAAATATGGCCCCGTTACCAATTTGTATTTTCGTCAGGTTTTTGACTGGCAACATGCTAAGTGGAAATATACCAGACTCAATCTTGAAGGCTGGAAGCAACATGTATGCATCTTATCTTGGAGTCAGTTTATTTTATTTTTAGATTTACAATGGACTTATTACTGTGCATTCAAGTATATTCATGATGATATATTTGCTATCAGTTGGACATGGGAGTTTACAATTTAAATTCGAGTGTACTTGATGTTTATCTGCTTCTGAGTTTTCTCCATGTGTCTATTGTCCATATCCTGTGTTTATAAGGTCTAATTTTTTTTTTCTTTACCATATTATTAACCATGAGGATGGTTTGGTGACAAATTATTCACTGTTTATTGTCTAGAAACTTTGAACTGATTGATCCATTTAGTTTATGTATTCTCAAATAGGAAAGTGAATAGGTAATCATTATTCACAGCTATGTTGGATGACTGTTTCTAATGGAAATGCAAGATAGCTCTCAAGTATCAAATCTTGTTCTAGACGGTATTCTATTCTCTTTCCTGCTAAATAGTTTTGAAGTTTCAACGTAGAAAATATACCAATGCTATTCGTAAGGAAGAGAACAAGCACTTGAACCTTATATAGCTCACATCATATTCTGACATAATAATTGGGTGTCTGCCACCAACCATTTCTATCAAATTATACCATACTCTCTGGACATCTTAACCATCAGGGAAGGGTGATCAGTTAACCATGTAATACCAAGATTTTACAATCATTGTAATTAACTTGTACTTCTTATATCTGCTGACTGGAATTATTAAGACTCGAATTATTGATATAACTCGTGGTAGCGTGAAGAACAACACAGAATCCATTTCCATCCTTGTTCTCATCATTATTTAAATACTCACTAATTTTGTAAAAGCCTAATAACATTATGATTTTTGAGTATGTATTCTTTCATAATTTGAATTCATTAATAACTTTTTTGGTAACATGTGCTGTATGTATTATGAACAGTTTACCTCCTAACCATATAAATAACGACCGTTATTCAAGAAACATAGATGACTACGTTGTGCCATTTGACAATTCAAGAAACAAAATTTATGTAAGCAGTCGTTGAGCAGAGAGTATCTCTAAATGATTATAAGTTTTGTTTGATGTATCAATGGCCTTTAAAAACAAAACTTTCTGATAAAAAACTCAACAAAGAGGAGTTTTGGTGGAGAAATAGTCATGTTTAGGTTTTGTATCTTCTACACAATGCTTTTAACTCATGACTATTGCATGCTGTTTTCACATGAATTTCCTCAAAGTCTTCTAGTTTTAAATTCTTTAATATAATGTGTGATGGATTTTAGTAGCATGTTTGGTCTCAGTGGTGGGCCCTTCAAAGTGTGATAAACGGGTCTTGAGATCCAATGCTGGCATAAGAAGAACCTAGAAAAGAAATTGTGGCACCCTATAACGTGTCATGGATTTTACACAAATTGAACAGTATGATTATATCTCGGATGTTATACTTTTAGTATTAATATTGGAATGCTGATGGAATTTCTTTTCAATTCTTGGGCGCAGTGATCTTTCTTACAACAATTTTACCCTAAGTCATGAGCAATCTGCTTGTCAAGATAACCTGTAAGACTGAGGAAACCTTTTGCAATAGTTGTTTGTATATATCCTCTAGTTTGGCGTTTCTGTAAACCTTTCTTGTTTTTATTGGTTAGGAATTTAAACCTAAATTTGTTTCAGAGCTCCTCAGGGCCCAACGATTTGTAAGCATCTACCTATATAATTCTCCTTTTTGTTTTTAAAAGTCTACTAGTAAACTCAGATGAAAAATGGAATTCCAGTGTTTTCGTTCTCACTCATTATTTATGACAGAAGGAGAGCTCTGCCGTGCACGAAGAATTTCAATTGTCCAAGATGTATGTGATAATCTTCCATATTTGAAATACTGAAATAATTTGGGCGACTATGTTAGGTCACAGGAATTAAAGTTTGAAATATTATGTTATGAGGCATTAATTTGCAAATGGGATTTGTCAGCGAACATTGAAAAAACACACACAATTTGATGTTTTGATGATACACGATAATGAATGTCAAAAGTAGAACTGAGTGCAAATGGCTAGATGTAGAATTGAAATGACTATAATGAGTTGAATTTATGCTATAGGGCTTACACACTATAAAATTACATATATTTCATTGGTAGAACATAGGTAGGCTATAATATATGTATTTTTATGTCTGTATGAGTATATTCCAACTCTCAAATGACAAGGAATATTGCCATTGATAATTATCTTGGAAGTTGTTTGTTGAGAATACAACTCCTTGTTTTTATGGTATTTTGGCTAATTTTATATTTTTCCTCTTTTCCAGATTCAACTTGTTTGCATGTTAATAGTGGCGGAAAGGATGTAACTATGATGGAAAATAAAGAACATTTGCTCTACATAGGAGATGGAGATGTGTTGGGCGGTACAGCAAAATTTTATTATGATTCCAATAATAACTGGGGTTTCAGTAGCACTGGGGACTTCATGGATGACAATGACTTTCTGAATACACGTTACACTGTGTTTCTGGAATCCTCAAATGTACCTAATATATATGCAACTGCACGTATCTCCCCAATTTCACTGACTTATTTTCACTATTGCTTGGAAAATGGAAACTATACTGTAAATCTACACTTCGCAGAGATACAATTTTCAAATGATAAGACATATGATAGTCTTGGGAAGCGGATATTTGACATCTATGTTCAGGTATTGATCAAACTTGAGAAACTACTTTGTGTTTGTTCATATCAGGAATTATAAGATCTTTCTTTTTTCAGGGAAAATTAGTTTGGAAGGATTTCAACATTGAAGATGAAGCGCATGTTGCCCAAAAGCCAATTAAAATACCAATATATAATGTTAATGTAACAGATAATGCCTTGGATATACGATTCTATTGGGCTGGCAAAGGGACTACAAGAATTCCTAGCAGTGGAGTTTATGGTCCCCTTATATCAGCTTTATCTGTTGTTTCTGGTGAGTTGTATGTTTCTATCTTTTTATTGTGTTATTCTCAAGGATGATTTTTGGTCACATTTGATACCAAGGCAGTATCAACTGTTTGGATCATGTTTCATACTTCGAAATTGTTTCTTTATCAAAGGGATATTGTGAAGGACCCTCTAGAGAAACTTGTCATAGCATCTTCGTTCTGACCTCCTCTTTTGATGTTGTGTGTTGTATGACAAAAGTAATCAATTTGAAAACCAAGCTCCCTCTCTTATAACCATGATTAACATGAAACCTGGTTCTTTGATGCTGGGCCGACCTATGAGCTCCCCATGCTGAGGTTGTCCATCCACATTTCACTAGAATCAATTTGGAACAAAAGAAGTTCTCTTAATGTTATATGTCGTACATTTAATCTTGTTAGTTTCATCTTTTCGTTCAAATGCCATTTGGGCTCTGTTCAGGCAGCTATGCAGGGAAACATCTCAGATTGGTAGATCTGAATTTTAAACTTGAAAAACTCTCCATGAAGCTAAAGAAAAAGAAAACAGTGATAACTCATCATTCCGTCGTTCTTTTTTCTGGGATTGATTATGCTCAAGTTTTCAGTGTCATTATCCTCTCCTGAATGGAAATGAAGAACTAAATTGCTTTTCCACCCATTGGTGGGGTCATTTTTAATGTCGGTTTTCTGTTGAATGGCAACCTCATGAGCTAATTGCAACATTGAGTTTTGTGCTTTTTGGCCAAATGTTACTTAATACTATTAATGGCCTAAAAAGGATTCTCCTCTGTTTGTAAAATTTTGAATTGTGGAAGTTGCGTTTGTAATAATTGTGTTTTGAAAACATTCTCATTTTTTGCTCCCATAGGAAAGATCTCATTTATTGCCATGAAATTTAGAGGGAATAATCACTGATGCTTTTCTTTCGCAGAGTCTAAACGTTGCTCAGATGGCCTTAAAAGGGGAAATGCTAATATAATAATTGGAGTTGCAGTTGGAGTGGGGGCTATTTGCTTAATACTTGTAATAGTTGGACTCTTTTGGTGGAGAAGCCAATTCAGAGGAAACTCTGGGAGTGATAAAGGTAAATACTATCATGCCATTCTGAAATCCATAATTCAAGTTGCTGCAAATTTTCATGAGGAACAAAGGATAAAATATTTTGAAAAGTTTAAATTCCTGATTTGTTATACATCAGTGGCCAATGAATTCATATTCTGACTTGGGAGGAAGTATAATTGAGGGAAATTATAGAAAAGGGCCTATATATACAAAACATTACTTATGAAGCACCAAAAACTATGAAAGGTGGTTAATTAGTCTAAACTGATCCCTATTTTGAGATGAATAATTTGCATTGCAGCTCTAGGTGCCTTTCTTTTAATGAAATTTTGTATGTGATTTTTGGTACATATAAAGCCTTTCTTTTGAGATAAGCTGAGCTAATAATGCTTAGGAAGCTAGTTATTCCCATGGGAACATCTTTTACATTTGATTTATTGAACAGGTGCCCAAGGACTAGATTCCCATATAGGAACATATAGCCTAAAACAGATAAGAGATGCCACTGACGACTTCAGTCCTGAGAACAAGTTAGGAGAAGGAGGTTTTGGTCCTGTCTATAAGGTATTTGTCCTAAAGCAACATAAAATTTCAATTTCTTCAAAGCATTGATTTTTGTGTTTTTCAGGCACATGTAAAATTCTAAATATAACACTGGGAAGTTGGATTTACAGGGGCAGTTATCTGATGGTACTTGGGTAGCAGTAAAACAGCTTTCTTCAAAGTCCCGGCAGGGAAACCGTGAATTTTTAAATGAGATAGGCATGATATCTTGTTTGCAACACCCTAATCTTGTAAAGCTTCATGGATGTTGTATTGAAGGGGATCAACTATTGTTGGTTTACGAGTACCTGGAAAATAATAACCTTGCCCGTGCTTTATTTAGTAAGCATTTCTAAGCATCTTACTTTTTGACACTTTTTTTTTTTTAAAAATAACTTTGGCTTATCTTCTTCACCAATTTGTTTAACAGATATTTTAAGCACTGCCCCTTTGTGCTTGGAATGTTAAGCTTTTTGTTTTTTTTCCTGTTAAATTTTATTTCCCATATACTTTTTCTGTGAATTTTATCATTTTTTCCTGGGCAGTTGCTTTTGAAAAAAGAATTTATATTAAATCAACTCTAACTTCTTTTTGCACATTTTATAGGCCATAGAGATCAGCTTAAACTTGATTGGCCTACAAGGCTTAAAATCTGTATTGGCATAGCAAAAGGTCTTGCGTTTCTTCATGAAGAATCCATACTCAAGATTGTTCATCGAGATATCAAGGCCACTAATGTGTTATTGGACAGGAATTTAAATCCTAAGATATCTGACTTTGGATTGGCTAGGCTCAATGAAGAGGAGAAGACCCACATTAGCACCCGAGTGGTTGGGACAATGTTAGTGGTCTCTTTTGATGATACAACTCCAGTTGGTGTTTTCTTGTTATTGATAAATTACAATCTATAATTCATTTCTGTTCCTTTTGCAGAGGATATATGGCTCCAGAATATGCATTATGGGGTTACCTTACATACAAGGCAGATGTTTACAGTTTTGGAGTTGTGGTCTTGGAAATCATTAGTGGGAAGAGCAACAATGATTATATGCCAAGTGATAATTGTGTTTGCCTTTTGGATTGGGTATTCTACTCTGCTGCAATCCCTATCCTTGTCTACTTTCCTCAGTTTAAAATTAGACTTTGGATTACAAAGGGAAGGAAATGTTTGGCTAAAGCATTTCACTAGTTCACTAGTACAGATTTTGAAACACACACACACACTTTGTTTTGCAACACCTTCAAAAATAAATTTTCATCCTTCAGCATCTAGGATTTTTGGGGTTTAGGATTGGGAGATTATATTCAGGTGCAAAGCTTTTTACTAATCTAACCAATCTTACTTATGTTCAACCAATGAGAGTATGCCATGTGGATAGTGGGGAGGGGGGGCAAGGGTTTGATGTAGCATCTACGTTAATAGGAATGGGACAAAAGGTTTTAGAGTCGTAAGTGAAAGTTTAGGCTACTATTATTCAGTTTTTAAAGCTGAAGGGAGTGTTTGCAAATGACTGAATCTTTCTTTTCCTTCTCAACAATACAAACATACCTGAAATGAACTGTTCACTGTTTTGGTTGTTATCTCATGCAAAAACCTGCCATTATCTCATTGCAGGCATGCCATTTGCATAAAACTGAAAACATGATACAACTGGTTGATGAAAGGTTGGGATCAGAGGTAAACCATAAAGAAGTTGAAATCATGGTGAAAGTGGCTCTTCTGTGCACTAATGCATCACCATCCCGTAGGCCGACAATGTCTGAGGTTGTGAACATGCTTGAAGGAAGAATAAGCATTCCTGATATTAACCCAGAAGAAAGTGCTAGTGAGGATTTAAGGTTTAAAGCCTTGAGGGACATTCATCAACATAGAGAAAGTCAGAGTATGAGCACAAGTCATACAGAAAATTCAACTGATGCCCTTGTAAATAGCTCTCCCTTGACATCTGACCATGATTTACATGGGATCCGCTCAGAACCTTAACTAAAACATCAATGAGCGTTTATGAACTTTGAGGGCCTGATAATGATTCTTTAACAGATAGCAGACAAGTTCTAGCTCTATCCTTATAATTCTCAAGTTTTGACAGTCTAGTCACAAGACAGGTGAGTAATTCTTATTGAATGAAATTTCCCTATGCACTAGGGAGGGTGTATATAAGGAAGTCTTTAGTTTTGGGTAGCTCTTTTGCATTTATTTATTATATTCTGTATAGTTGTAAGTGCTGTATCAAAATGTATTTGATTCAAATGAAAGTAATTAAAAAAAAAAAAAACAATTTGCTTTTAACGCTGCAATGAGTCTTGACATCGTCTGTCAGTCAGGATTTATCCAATAAATATTCAGCCATTGTGAACGCTCTATCGATATATATTTTTAAGAGGATGGATGGATGTATGTATAATATACATGAATGCATTGATGTATGTATGTATGTATGTTTCTGTGTGTCTATTACATGTATAAATCTCCAATCTGTCATATACAAACGAAGGATAAGATTCATGCATAATAATAAAATGCATCCCTGCAAAATCAACCAGGGATAATGCTGCAACTCATAGGACAAAAGATTGATTAAAATACCCCAACTCCACATGCTGATTGAGTAAAATTCTACAGTCTACCGAGTTTTTTCCCCCTAGAATGACTATTCAAACAAAAATCATTATCTTTTGCAAAATTCCTGAAAGAAGGGAGGCTTTTTAACCCCCCCCCCTTTTTTTTTGAATAACAAGGGTTTACAGATATCAAGATGAGACACAGTTAATCAATAGCTAGAGAGGAATTCCTCTCATCATCCCTTGCCTTAATACAATAAGGGGGTGGTTGATCAAAGGTTACAAAAGATTCTATCAATTCTCCAGCATTCCTAGTTAGATAGTGAACACAAAAATTTGCTTCTCTAAACAAAGTTAACAGAAACATTCCAATCTCTATTCAAGGTCAACCTAATATTATCAATAATATCCCTGAAGGGATGAGAGTCATTGTTGCTTCAGTAGATAAGGTTGATAGCCTCTGCATAATCTATAAAAACTTTGGCATTCCTGTCCTCTATCCCAGCAAATGTGCAATCCATTCAAAATTCCTATCAGTTCAATTAAAGTCACTGGAAAGTTCCCAATACAAGCATTAAAGCCAACAACGTAGTTAGCGTTGCAATCTCTTATTACCCTCCACATTTCCAATTCTATTGCAAACAGAGCCATCAACATCTAAGCGGACTTAGCCCATTTCTGGTCTGACCCATTTTTCGAAGTTTCTTTTTGGCTTTTTCCCTTAAGTGTATGACATTTGTAAAACATTAAGGTCTGATTTTGCTTTCTGGAGTGTAGCAAAACCTGACCCGTTCTATCTACATCATCAGTGCCAAGAGTTTCTTATATCTACTGCACCAAATGTCCCAGCAAACATGCCCGAACAGAATATGCCAAGGTACCTGTTTCGTGAAACCCTTTCCCGCTTCATGCTTGAGGTTCCATATCAACCCGTCGAGGCTTTTTAGCTTAGAAGAATTATCCGGCTCAAAAACACAACAGTTAAATTAAGCAAGGTTTGCTTCCGGCTGTATCTAAAACCATAAGCTGTCAGTTTTTTACATTCAAAAAAGCTTACTGGGGACGAGAAAACTTGAACTTGGATAGACACTGATCAAACACCACCAGCAACTGGAAAAAAAAAAAAATTCAAAAAGCAGAAAACACGAGACCGCAAATCTTCATATCAATCTGCATAGCTTGAAACGCTGTCCATGATGTTAGTTACCACTTCCTTACTTTCTCTAGAACTTGAACGCTTCGATTAAGTTTTGCACGCTTCCCATGCTCCAATGCAAGCTTCGGTTAAGGAAGAGGGTGGCTCTGGGGCCTCATAACTAAGGGAACCCTTGTGCAGATTCCCTGCCCACATGGCAAACTGATTCCCGCAAGAGATTCTAGGACACTGGACTTCCCAGAAGACTGGTCACCCACAACAACAATGGTCGGGAGCTGATACCTTCTTTGGTGATGTTGAGGCGTCTCAGGTTTTCTAGAGCATCAAGCACGGGTCAAATCCTGTCATTGTAAGAGGAGACTATTGGTGGAACAATGACGTTGAGTGACTCCGGTTCGTCACTAACGACTAGGGCCAGAGACTCTTGTCTTTGATCAAGGAGGTTTCTCTGAAGGCAGTTGAAGTTTCGACCCAAAAAAAGAAAAGGCAACGGCAATTGAAAGCTGATAACTTTCCTCTTCCCATTAGGACGTGTTCTTTCAAAGTTTACAGGAAAGAGAGCAAAGGTTGAAGGGAGTATCGAGATGTGAAGACAGAATCAGAATGTTTAGTTTACTACGTAGTTATAATTAGTTGGAGTTGAGGAATGAAGAGACTTCCGGAGCCAAGAGAACTTAGGAATTGGTGCGTCAAGGTGGTGACGTTTTCATATGCTCGGAAAGTAGAAGAGATTTTCTTCATTTGAAATAGTCGCAGTAAATCCTTTTAAAGACGGAAGACAACCGTCAATTTTCTTAATTTTCAGTCTTTTAATCTTTACTCTTTAGTTGAATCAAGTTTTAATAATACGGTTTTTTAATAATTTTTATATTATATTTTAACTTTAATATTAATATAGAGAGATTGATGATGCTATACAATTTTTTTGAGAGAATAATAATTAGGTCTCAAGGAATGAATTAATGAAAATTAAGTTATTAATAAAAAAATTTACAAAATAAATTATAAATATCAATTTAAATAATTATAAATAAAATTTTTATTATAATCTAAAAATTATATTTAATATTTAAATATTTATTTATAATTAAAACTCCTGAATTTGTAATAATTTGAATCGATATTTTATTTTATTTTATTTTTTAAAAAAATCTATCAAAGACTTAAATGATATTAATTTAATATTTTAAAATTTAACTGTCATTTTCTACTATTTTTTTTTGACCTTATGAAGTTATACAATTGGATGCATAATAAAAAAAATGAATTTGTCATTTAATATTAGAGAATTATATACAAGTCTCATATAAAAAAATTAATTATTATAAAATCCATTAATAACTACTTTAGTTCAATTATTAATGAATTTTATAGTAATTAATTTTTTTGTGTGAGAGTTCAATATAATTCTCCCTTTAATATTGAGATTTAAAAATTATAAACATATATTTCATTCCAAATAATATAATTAGAAATATATAGCAATATAAATTATTTATAAGGTTAATACAAATTTTTACAAATATAGACAAACCACTTATGTGTGAAAAATGTATGTGGAAGGAGTGGGCAAGAGTTCAGTGAAATCAAAATATAATTAAAAAAATGTTGTCTACGAATAATAAAGATGCAAGTGTTTAAATGACTTTTAAATTATATTGAAGTTGAAGAGAGGCTTCCTAAATTCTTCGATGTACTTTTTCTGGGAATTTTATCACTTTGTCCTTTGGCAATGGCTCTTGCAAAAATGGATTATATTAAATCAACCCCAATTTCTCTTTGCACATTTTATAGGCCAAAGAAATAAGCTTAAACTTGATTGAAGAATAATCCAGAGGCAATTGCTTGTGAGGATATAAAGCCTTAAGGGACATTCATCAACAATAAAGTCAGAGTATGAGCACATATACAGAAAATTCATCTGATGCCATTGCAAATAGCTCTCCTTCGACATCTGAGTCCGACTACGATTTACATGGGTTACGTTTGGAACCTTGAATAAGACATCAATGAGCGTTTATGATCTTTGAGGGCATAAAACTGATTCTTTAACAGATGGCAGATAAGTTCTATGTCTATCCTTATAATTTAGCGTTTATGAACATAGAAAATTAAAAGAAAGGGGGTTTTTAGCTTATTAAACTAATCAAAGTTAGCTTTCGGATGTATCTGAAACTGTGGGCGTCATTTTATCACGTTAAAAAAAAAAAAAAAAACTTAAAATGACACTAACTTTGACAGCCATTGATCAAACACCACCAGCAACAGGGGGGAAAAAACAAATCCAAAAGTAGAAAACACGCCAAACCACCAATCTTCATAAAACTTAATCCGCATAGCTTGAAATGCTGTCCATGATGTTAGCTACCACTTCCTTACTATCTTTGAGAACTTGTACACTTCGATTAAGCTTTGCACGCTTCCCAACTATTGATGGTGATTCCCGCAACAAGCTCTCAATTCCTCCATTACTGGTAGACATCAGTCCAACAGTGATCTCCTTCTCCAATTCCCTGCTCACTAGATTGTTTATACTCAGCTGCAGCTGTAGGGCTATGGTATCTATCAGCCTCCTCAACGCAATCTTCCAGTAAGCTACCATCCTCATCTTCAAGTCAAATGCATTCTGAAGAACGTGTTTTGAACTGCCCCAGGTGACCAACCTCAATCTATCCAAGGCCGTCCAGGATCACTGTAGATGGAACCAACTCATCATGACATACTTGTTTCATGAAGGCATCATGCTGAGCCATCAGCCTAGTGTATTCGGCCATGTGCTCTGAATTACAAGTGTAAGCTGTCAGCTTCTCCATTTCAATAGCCTCCATTACGTGCTTCTTTGCATTCTCCCTCATTCTATTAATGAGATTTTCTCCAGCTCTGGATGTCGACCTCTGAAGCTGATAATAGTTTTCTAAATGGCGGTTAATGACCTCAATCAGCACCCTTTCCAGATAGTCCCACACGTCATCAATGAAATGAATAGGCCTTGGTGCAATGCCTTTCACTTTGATCTGCAATAGAGCAAGAAACGCAGTGCGAGGCATGAAGTTTTGGAGGCCTATCCACTTAGCTTCCTCCAAAATCTTTATTTCTTCGATGAGAAAATTCCTTCTTTGGTTGCTTTCGGGACATTCATGAAGATCTTGGGAGTAATTATTAAGCTTCTCGACCAATCGAGCAGTACAATGCATGTTTTTGTCATCCGGGTACTCATCAAATTCTCTTCTGATAAGAATTTTCCCGAGTGACTCTTTCACCAATCCAACTCTATGCATGAAGGCAGTCATTGCATCAGCAATAGAAGTCAGGCTCTTGAGCAAGCTATCCAACTCAGAAAGCTGAGCACTCAGCTTCTCGTTGATTTTTCTAACAATCTCAGGCAGTGTCTTTGAAATGATTGAAGCTTGATGCTGAACAAGCTTCTGAGCCAGAACAGGTACGCCCACTATCGATTTGTCAATCTTGGAAAGAAGCGGGTGGTTCTCAAAGAGCGAAGCTTCCTCCATTCGAGCCTCTTCATAGGTCTCATCACTGATTCGATTCCTCACACACACATAACCAAGTCCTAT